TGTCTCTTTAAAAAAAAACAAAAAAACAATATTGCCTATAAATTTTTCAATTCCAAATCAGCACATGTACTCAGTCTCTTTTTCTCTGGCCCTTTCCTTTCCTTGGAGCTATTAATTTTGGCCTTATTTCCTTATCTAATCTAAGAAGAGGTATTTTTGTCCATCTTGTACTTTATTCAAAATTTGGATCACTATACAGAGGAGGAATGTGTCAAAGAGTTGGGTTTGGTTATTTTGACATTTGCTTGAATGTGTAATTCAAATGATGTGCCTTTCTTCACTTATCTTGACTTTATCCAATGACATTCCGCTACTGCCTGGTTTTAATTGTTTGTGCTTTACAGTTATAGGATTTAAGTAAATTATGAAAGCAAAGATTTTGTGTGATGAATAAGCATCAGCCTCATCATCTGGACATTTTTGTCTGACTCTTTCTTGCTGTCTGTTGAATTTCAGTTTAGAAGCTTGAGGTCAATTGTAATAAGGTTTTCTTTTATAATTTGTGTGCATTTGAGCGAATTTTAGATATTTTGTGAAGATTGCATGTTTCATTCATACTGACTTTTAGTTATGTGTAATAGATGCACCACAGTTCGGAATATACTGGTAAAAGTTTGATTTTTAACTGTATATGATGTAGAGATGTAATGCTTCGGCGTTATAACCATTATGTTGGAAATCATAACCATTTAGTAGATGTCTTGTAAAAATTTCTTCTTTAGGCTGTGCGTTATTTTTGAGCTTCTTTGGACTTTTAATTCTTGTTACCTTTTTGAGCTGTTTTTTTTTTTAATTGTACATTTTGCTTTTATTCATGAGCGGCTCTTCCTTCTCTATCTTAACAAAAGTGTGATGAAATTGTTGTTGTAATGTGTATTATCTGAGGCTGCTTAGTATTGTCCTCTACTCTGCAGGAAGTTCATATTGCTGATTAATTAATTTTTTCCACATTATTGAATACTTTAAAGTATTTTTTTAAATCTTAATTTTTAATTTTTGTTGAAGAAAGACTCATACTTTCTTCCAACCCACATGATAATTTAAAGTACATACCTAGTTTGGCCTCAGGTCATACACACTGATTTAAATATGTATAGGAAATTTACATTGTATGGAACAGTTACTAATCATACTTCAGCCAATTCTATATTGTGAAAAAATGTATAAGAAATCATTTAAGCTATTTGTGTGACTTTGTCACTGTGTTAATGTGTAGGGGCTTGTAAACAGTACATATGCAAATATTTCAACCAAATCATGACTTTTAAAATTTTCTCATCCATGATCTGTGTGCTGATGCTTTTGCTTTTTCCTATGATGTGTATTACTGTATTCTAAGATGAATTTGTGTTTCAGTGGGACTTGCTGTTGTTGTCTAATTCTCATGAAACTTCGAAGAATCCTTTGCCTATCTCGTGTATAGAGAACTGTTTTCGCTATCTGTAATTTACCTTACCAGTTTTGGTTGTTTTAATTAGAAATTGTGTTCATCTAAAAGTCAACACATTGCCTTCATCACATCTATTTAGTTTGTGTAGAAGGCAAGACAATTTTTCTCTTATCCTCTAAGACAATAACTCAGTAATGTATTTGGCACAGCATCATTCATTGCCATTTCATCAGTATTGTGCGTGAAGAGTTTTTATTAAGTTTCACAGGTGTCATTTTCTAAAGAATTTATTTAGCTCAAAGATGAGAAAAGATCGATACCAATTTCTTGATGTTTTCATTCTTTTGTCGTACTACACAAAAAATAAAGAATGCCATGTAGATTTCTATTTTTATGAAAAGTAGGCTCATAATGAAATAGTGGTGTAGATAGTGTTTGTGTTCAGTCATACGTTCATGTACAGAGCAGTGCTTGTGTAATATATTAGCATCTCTGCATTCCATCGGTCAATAAATTGTTGAATAATTTGTCTTGAATTTATTTTTTTGGAGCTATGCACCAAGTCATGGCCAAGTCCAGTCATAAATAATACAAAGGAGAGAACGTTCGTATACCGCAGTCGTCAGCATATGTTGTTGTGATAGCGCGGGAACAGCCTCTTTCACCCACAGTGGTCAAAATATACTCCCGTTAACCAGTCCAGAAGGTACGTCCGTCACTCACCGTTCCGAAACTACCAAGTTCAGCCATGCGAGCTCTCATAGCGCCTGGTAGGTAGGCAACATCTTGCCTGCAGTGCATGCGTGTGTAGCGGGCTGGCCTACCACGAGTCTCGCAGGCGCACATCCCCACCACAGCGGGAAAAATTACGTACCTGTTTTTAGCTACACGATTGTAGCTACAGCCGACAATGACTGAGTCAGCTTAAACCGAACCGTCTATAGACGCGATTATTTTTCCTGCTCTGCTGGCCAAGTGTCTTCGGGCGTCAGTCGTTGTGTTGTCGCAGTGATGCTCTTTATCGTTCCGTCGTGGCCAAGTCGGTAGCATCCGGGCCCGGTGTGTACCTGGTTGCTGGTTCGAATCCCGGCTGGGTGATATTTTTCGCGCTCCGCTAGCCATGACTTTACAGCCGTGCGACACCTGATGTGATGGGCCGGTACGCAAACAGTCGCTGGTTCGAATCTGGTCGACGGAACCCTTTTGCCCCTCTGCCAGCCATATGTTTCGGGGTGTGAGACACGTTGGAGATAAGCTTCACCTATGTAGTAGCCGCATCGTTGGCTCAGATAGTAGAGCGCGCGCCCGGGACGCCGATGGTTGTCGGTTCGAATACTGACCGAGGCTCGTTTTTTCCAATTTAATAGTTTGCGGCGCGGGGACCAAGGGTTAGGACAAAAGACCAGCCGACATGGGGAGGTAGACTTGACCGCCTACTCAGCCCCCCCCCCTCCCCCAATGCAAAAAAACAACAACAAAAAACGAAGTGTTCGCCCCTACCAGGACTCGATCCCTGGGCCGTAAGTGTCTTGTGAACCACGCCCCAGCGCGCTCGCCACTCGGCTGTTGGCTCCACTTGTCAGCAGAGAGTTCAGAACTCGGTCCTGGTTTACAAGTCTTGGTCTCCCGGATTGCACGCGTTCAGGCCGGGTCAAGTCCACCTCCTCGACGCGCTGCAGCCCGGGTCGGCTTTTGGCTTGAAAAGCGGAAAATGGCCACTAAAAGAGCCCCTTGGATGCGCGGGGGTTAGGTTAGGTCCATTTATGTGACTTGTTCCGTGTTTTTGGCCAAAATTCGACCCGGGCTGCAGCGCGTCGAGGAGGTGGACTTGACCCGACCTGAACGCGTGCAATGCGGCAGCGCAACGCCCTTAAAGCAGGACCGAGTTCTGACCGTTCCGTTCACAGGAGCAGGCGACAGCTGAGTGGCGAGCGCGCTGGGGTTTGGCCAAAAACACGGAACAAGTCACATAAATGGACCTAACCTAACCCCCGCGCACCCAAGGGGCTCTTTTAGCGGCCATTTTCCGTGTTTCAAGCCAAAAGCCGACCCGGGCTGCAGCGCGTCGAGGAGGTGGACTTGACCCGGCCTGAACGCGTGCAATACGGGAGACCAAGACTCGTGAAGCAGGTGACCGAGTTCTGAACCCTCCGCTGACAGGTGGAGCC